ATATGGGTATTAAAGATATTAAAGTTTGCTTGGAATTTAAATTTCATCTTAAGTTGTGTTTTCTCAGGCTTTTAATTGACATTTTCTTGAACTAGAGCAGACTACAAAAAGTATCTAAATCAAATAATTGTAATTATAATTCAAATTAATTATGTTCAGCATGTACTATGGTAATTGTTTATTAAGGGTGAAACTTTCATTATTTTCTGCTACATGTATGATGGGGTACATATTATGGTAAAAAGTCAGCATGCTGGGTTCTTTGCCTTGCACCATCACCACTTCCCCAAGAGCAGAAATGTACAAGCATTTTTATCCATTTTTCACTTTATTAACCTTTAAACTGTGTCCAACGTACTAGTACCTTATTTTTCATACCTTCAAATCTACCACTTGCCAATACATGTACAGTGGTCCCTCGTTTTTCGTAGTTAATCCATTCTTGGAGTTGCTACTATTATCGAAATCTACGATTTTCGAATCAATTTTCCCCATAAGAAATAATGTAAATACAGTTAATCCGTTCCTGACCCCCAGAAGTATTAAAACAAAAAAATTTTTACATGAAATGTAGATGTAGTACATAAACAATACAATGGGAAATGATGAATGAAACATTAACAGCATAACACTTACCTTTATTGGAGATTCTTCTTAGTGTATGGGAGACTGGAGGAGGAGAGAGATTGGAATGTTTACAGTTTGGAAGGGGAATCCCCTTCCAGCAACACCTCAGGTACCAATTGCTTTTCTGGGGTTGCTTCTCTTCTCTGTTTCTTAAAGCCACTAGGACCAGCTTGAGAGTCACTGGAGTCCTGTCTCGCAAAATAACTGTGGAGAGAGCTCTGTTTCTGGCATCTCTTTAACACTTCCCTAAAGTGGCCCAAGACTTTGTCACTGTACATGTTGCCAACATGGCTTGCAACAACCTTGTCAGGGTGATGTTACTCCATAAATCTTTCCATCTTACCCCACATAGCAAAAATCTCTTTAATTTCTGAAGAAGGTACCTTCTTCCATCTCTCTTCCTCCTCTGCAGCAAGATTCTGAGCTGCGATCTGTTGCTGTTCCTGCTGAAGCTCTTGCAGCTCCTCAGTGGTGAGCTCTTCGTTGTGGTCTACCACCAACTCTTCCACATCCTCCAAACTCACATCCAACCCCATGGAACTCCCCAGTGCCACAATTGATTTAACAACAGACATAGGCTCATCAGGGTCAGTCCCAAACCCTTCAAAATCACTCTTGTGGACACAATCTGGCCACAATTTTCTCTAAGCAGAGTTCAAGTCCTGGTAGTCACTCCCTCCCAAGCCTTACCTATAAGGGTTATGCAATGGAGGATGCTGAAGTGTTCTCTCCAAAATTCCCTTAGGGTCAAGTGAGTGTCTGTGGTCACAGTCAAGCACCTGTGAAACATTGCTTTGGTGTAGAGTTTTTTAAAGTTTGCAATGACCTGCTGGTACATGGGCTGGAGGAGAGGAGTGGTATTCGGGGGCAAGAACTTTACTGTGATGAACCCAAACTCCTCGAAAATTAGGTCATCCAAGTTTGGAGGATGAGCAGGTGCATTGTCCATTACTAGCAGGCACTTGAGATCCAATTTCTTTTCCAGGAGGTAATTCTTCACACTAGGGCCAAACACTTCATTGAACCACTCGACGAAAATTTTGCTCGTGACCCATGCCTTACTATTAGATTTCCAAAACACACACAATTTACTCTTCATAACATTGTTTTTCCTGAACACTCTGGGGTTTTCAGAATGGTACACTAGTAACGGCTTCACTCTGAAATCCCCAGTAGCATTAGCACAGAACATGAGCATCAGCCTGTCTTTCATAGGCTTGTGTCCTGGCATTGCCTTTTCCTCCTGTGTAATGAAGGTCCTCTTTGGCATTTTCTTCCAAAAGAGGCCTGTTTCGTCACAATTGAACACTTGTTCAGGTTTCAGTCCTTCAGGCTCTATGTACTCCTTGAATTCATGCACATATTTTTCAGCCGCCTTGTGGTCTGAACTGGTAGCCTCACCATGCCTTACCACACTGTGTATGCCAGTACGGTTCTTAAATCTCTCAAACCAACCTTTGCTGGCCTTAAATTCACTCACATCACCACTATTTGCAGGCAATTTCTTTACCAGATCGTTGTGCAACTGCCTAGCCTTTTCACAAATAATCAAAGTCATAAGAGTATATCCTGCTAATTGTTTCTTGTTTATCCACACCAATAATAACTTCTTAACATCTTCGAGTACTGGTGATCTCATTTTTGTCAGAATAGTTACCCCCTTTGCAACAACAGCATCCTTGATTTCCTTTTTCTTGTCCACTATGGAACATATGGTTGTGTAGGGTTTCTTATACATCCTGGCCAGTTCGGCCGCACTTGTGCCACTTTCATATTGTTCAGTGATGTTTTTCTTAAATTCAGTCGTATTTCTCACCTTCTTTACCACAGGCTTGGCACTAGGCGCTTTCTTTGGAGCCATAGTACCTTATTTAGTACTTTCAACCACTAAAATGAGTGGAATATTATGAAATATTTCGTAGGAGCACGTGAGGGGACCTTCGCTCACTGGTAAACAATGCCAGACTGGCTGGGTAGGGAGGCCGCCCCGGCTCACACCGTGCGTACGCGTCCCGGACGAACTACTATTCGCGAGTCAACCTATGATTAGCGAGCCCATGTTTATACGAAAATATCCCTATGATTTCCGAAATCTATGATTCCCGAGAACTACGAAAAACAAATGACCACTGTATTGGCAAGTGGTAGATTTTAGTCGCTTCTTACAACATGCATGGCTTACGGAGGAAGAATTCTGTTCCACTTCCCCATGGAGATAAGAGGAAATAAACAAGAACAAGAACGCTCACTGGTAAACAATGCCAGACTGGCTGGGTAGGGAGGCCGCCCCGGCTCACACCGTGCGTACGCGTCCCGGACGAACTACTATTCGCGAGTCAACCTATGATTAGCGAGCCCATGTTTATACGAAAATATCCCTATGATTTCCGAAATCTATGATTCCCGAGAACTACGAAAAACAAGGGACCACTGTATTGGCAAGTGGTAGATTTTAGTCACTTCTTACAACATGCATGGCTTACGGAGGAAGAATTCTGTTCCACTTCCCCATGGAGATAAGAGGAAATAAACAAGAACAAGAACTAGAAAGAAAATAGCAGAAAACCCAGAGGGGTGTGTATATATATGCTTGTACATGTATGTGTAGTGTGACCTAAGTGTAAGTAGAAGTAGCAAGACGTACCTGAAATCTTACATGTTTATGAGACAGAAAAAAGGACACCAGCAATCCTACCATCATGTAAAACAATTACAGGCTTTCGTTTTACACTCACTTGGCAGGACGGTAGTACCTCCCTGGGCGGTTGCTGTCTACCAACCTACTACCACAGGATGGTAGTACCTCCCTGGGTGGTTGCTGTCTACCAACCTACTACCTAGGAATACAAGAGTCATTGTAATAAAATATTTTTCAGTCATAAAGAAATCGACTAGGCAGCCTATGTGGCTGGAATTGGAAACAAATGTTTTCTACATCAGCAGCACTCTTCTTAAATGACACAAGTAAGAGATAACAGCACACTTTCAGTACTAGACACGGTATGTACTATGAAAATGGAAGAAACTCGACTTCAACCATACAAACCCACATGGAGAGAGTAATCACATTCTGTTAGATACAGTCTAACATAATTTGATTTATGCAGGAGAAAAAACTCAAACAAGTATGGCTAGATTATTTGAGAGGAAAATGTATATGACAGGTTTGCTGTCTAAGACGGCATGCGATTACTATTTTTTAATGCCTTCGGCAGGCTTTAATGACTGGGAATAGAAAAGCTCTCAGAACTCATCAAAGGTATACCAAATGTAAAGGACCTTTCAATAAAAAATTGAATAATCAAAATTAACAGATTTAGAGTGCCATGAATTTGTATGGTAGACTGTGCTAAGTATTTATATGGGTAACCACTTGCACAGTGAACAGTGTACTCAGTATTAGGCATTTTATTTACACAGAAGACATATTATAAACTTAAGTAAAAGGACACACTTGCAACTAATGTGGCATTATATTGTGGTAACATTTTGCTCTCCAGGAACTTTAAGTTTAACAAAGCTCCTGGAGAACAAAATGGTTGCCACAATAAAATGTTGCATTAATTGCACATGTGTCCATTCACCTGACATATTGTCAGTAATTCTGCCAACATTATTACAAGTTGTAGACGTCTTTAATAACTTGTTGTGTCTTGTATTCTCAGACACACAGATGAAGAACATCACAATTGCCATGTATGCAATACTGTACTGTAATATGCTGTACATTATAAATATTTTGTCAATTGTATGTTTGTACTGTAATATGTAAAGTAAATGGTTGAGAAAACCAACACGTTGAAGAATGAAACACTAGTGTAACATTTGGGAATCTTTATTGAGAAAATGTTTCACCACTAAGTGGCTTCCTCAGTTCAATACAGAGAAGAATGGTGGAAGATGAGGAGTAGTTTGAGGTAATCAGTCCCTCAGTCTGGAGTCATATTTAGTTCATCAATCTTGAGATTGATGCACAAGTGCCTCATTCTTCAATTATAATATGATGTACATTATAAATACTTTATTGTTTGTATGTTGTCTTCCTTTAATAATGCATATTGTGGTATATAATGTATACTTTTCATTGTACACTTTTTGTAGTATCTAATTTTTAAAATCTTTCTCTTTATGAACTTTGGCGCTTGAGTTTGTGTGCTTGATTAAGTAATTGATGGATGGACTATTGCGTATCATGCATGATCATTGTGCATGATAGAAGTTTCCTCTATATATTTTAGCTGGTGATAACTCTTTGTTTAACTGGTGAAAGTAATCTGCTATATAACAGATTTGATTTACATACATCTTTTAATTAATCAGAAGACAATAGCTAAATTATTCCCTCTTGCAACAATTGTGGTATTGTGTCATAGGTGGAGAATTTAGAGCGACAGTTGCGGGAAAAATCCCAAGAACTTCAGGACGCTCTTGCCAGTAGAGAGGAAATTCAAGTTGAACATAAAGCCGCTGTTGATAAGGTAATAATGTAATGTGTGAGAACTTAGCAACTTACCATTGTTGTGCTTCTCTGTATTAAACAGTATTAATTGTTTTATTTTTTCTGTAATGCACTCAAAGTTTGTGCACATTTTGGAAAAACATAGATCAGTCATGCATGATTGTGTAAGCATTTTTTAAGTTGTTTTTATCACATTCCTTATTGAAGCTTTTCTTATTGTCCACAGTTTATTTCTTTTAATATTCAGACTGGGATCTGTTAATGACAGTCTACCTCTCGAATCCCCAAAAAACCTGTGGATTGTTACTAGCGTCTATTACACTATATTATTATGTATAAAGCTTCTTTTCCATGTATATTGGCTTCTCTTATTATGCGTAGAGATTTCTTTCTATGTACTTTAGATTCAGTATAAGAAAGATTCTTCGTAATAGAATATAACAGTTATATTATTACTAGTTCGGGGTACAGTAGTGTTTTAGGATTTTTCAGTTTTGTATATGAGATGTAGCCAGTGAATGAAAATGATAGCTAGTAAAAATGTAGATGTATTTTGCTTTTAGCTTAATGGCCTTAATGCCATTTTTTTGCCCTGCCTCTTGTGGAGCACAGTATCAAACACCTTGTGGTGTAAACAATGCAATCTACCTTACCCTTTCTCTCTTGTTGTATATCTATTACTCTCATAAAGCTCCAAGTTAGTAGGACATTATATGGCATCCCTAAACCCTGATGGTTATTGTTTATTGAATCGGCTCTCTCTCCAAGTGTTCTACCACTCTACCCTTGATAAGTTTCTCCATTACCTTGCAAGGTGTGCTTGTCAGAGACACTCATCTGTAGTTTAGCACCTGTCTAACTTCTTTCTTGAATATAGGGACTACATTTGTTGTCTTCCAGATTTCTAGTAACTGTCCAATACCCAGTGACTTATTGTAGATCATAGCTAGTGGTTGAGACAGTGTTACTGCACTATCTTCCAGAATCCATGGTAACATGTTGTCAGGTCCCATTGTCTTCAATGTATCTAGGTCCATCAAAAGTTTCTGTACCTTTTTTCCTGTTGTGTGGATGGCATCCAGTACCTGTGGGTGCCCCCTTCATTTCGTGTTACTTAGTCTCTCTGAGATTACTCTCTGAAAAGACATCTTCAGATCATTTTATCAACACTTCACAGACTTCCTTGTCATTGTTTGTGAGCTCTTCTTTGACCTGGTCCTTTGCTGCCATCATCTTCTGATATGGCTGTAAGGCAATTTCAATTCAGACTTGGCCTTTGCTGCTATGTCATTATTAAATTGTCTTTCAACCTCTTTCCTCATCCTAGTATATTTGTTTCTGGTCAGTCTGGTTACTTCTGTTCTTCTGTCCTTTTGTTTCTGTATTTTTTTTATTCTCTTGCATTTCTTTTTTGCCTCCCTATGCATAAGTGTGTGCCTGCATGTACAGTGGACCCCCGATTAACAATCTTTTTTCATTCCAGAAGTATGTTCTGGTACCAGTACTGACCGAATTTGTTCCCATAAGGAATATTGTGAAGTAGATTAGTCCATTTCAGACCCCCAAACATACACGTACAAACGCACTTACATAAATACACTTACATAATTGGTGGCATTTGGAGGTGATCGTTAAACGGGGGTCCACTGTACACTCACCTATTTGTGGTTGCAGGAATTGATTCTGAGATCCTTGCTCTGCCTCTTAGTTTGCCACATCAGAGTCACTCCCTCTTAGCCTTGTGAGCCCTGTCATATACCTACTTTAAAACTGTGTGGAGCCTGTGTCATCCACTTCCTCACCCAGATCATTGTACATCCTGACCACTCTGAGACTGAAGAAATTCTTCCTAATATCCCTGTGTCTTTACCTTTTAGCTGTACCCCTGATTACCTGTTTTCATCGTGTCCCTGTCTGTCCTATCAATTCCTCTTGATTATTTTGTATGTTTTAATCATGTCTTCCCTTGATCTTCTGTCCTCCACAGTAGTTGGAGTTAATTCCTTTGGCCTTTCCTCATGGCTCCTACCCCTTAGTTCTGGAACTAGTCTTGTTGCATGCTTCTGCACTTTGTCTAGTTTGTGTGTGTGTATTTATCTGTCTCAGTGAGTATGCATGTATGTTTATGTCCGTATTTTTTTTTCAACATGCTGGCCGTCTCCCACCGAGGCAGGTGACCCAAAAAAGAAAGAAGCACTTTTACCATCATTCACACTGGTTGTTTCCCACTGAGGCATGGTGACCTGAAAAAAGAAGAAACACTTTAACCTACCATCACTCACTCTATCGCCATCTTGCCAGAGGCATGCCGACACTATAGTTCAGATGCCCCTTCAAACTGCAATATCTCTACCTCTCCTTCAGAGTGCAGGCACTGTAATTTTCACCTCTAGGACTCAAAGTTTGGCTAATCAGCTTTCCTGAATTCCTTCATAAATGTTACCTTGCTCTTCAGCAGCTCATCAAATCATAAAAACTATTTGCCTTCAGTCTCTTAATACGTTCACACATGCTTACTGGATGTCCAAGCCCCTCGCACACAAAACCACTTTACCCTTTCCCTCCAATCTTTCCTAGGACAACCCCTACCCCTCCTTCCCTTCAAACACCCTCCAAGTCATCCTATTTTGCTCTGTCCTCTATAAATTTCCAAACCACCTCAACAATCTTTCCTCAGCTTTCTGAGGAATTCTTTGCATAATATTCACACCACACATTACTCTCGGACATGACATCTCCACGGCCTCCAGGCTTATCTTCACTTCAGTGTATATTTATAAATATGAATGTAGATTTTTTTCTCTGTTTCCCTTCATTTATACTTAAATCATACAGTTTGTGCTTTGTTATGCTGTGGCATTTGATGAATGTTTATTTGCAGAGTGTGCTTGTGATGAATTGTAGTGTGTGCTTGATTATTATATGCTCATTACTGTTTATCAGGTGTTTGTAGCACTAAACATTCAAATGGTTATTACACTATCTCAGATACATAACATTTTGGAATGCATCTCTGTTTAAAACTATTTTTTTATATTCATCATAGCTGTAAATTATATAACAGTACTTCATGCACATGTTTTTGTACACTAGATATGGGATCTGCGAGAAATAATCCAGTCCCTCGAGGCTCAAGTTGACAGCAAGTGTGTGGAGGAAGGTGACCTGAATGCTCAGATCGAGAACTTAAAAACTTCCCTCTCCCAGGCACGACAGCAGTCCCTGGATCTTGCTACTCAGGTAACTTGTGCTACTGTGTTACTGTTCAGAGTGCATTAACACTGAGCAACAATAGCATGTACAGCTTCTCCTCACTTAGCGACGTACTCGTTTACCAACAACTTGGACTTACGACCAGCTCTCTGATCAGTATGCATACCCAAATATGTAATGTATTTTAGAGCTGATTTCCTCTATTCTGTTTATTACAATATACAGTACACTACTGTATAAACATTTAAAAATGTACCAGAAATGTTATAAATGGTTCAAAGGTGACATTAAAACAATATCAAAGATGGCTGAAACAAAACCCACTACTGTTATAGTATGCTCCTCACTCAGTGACGAATTCATTTACTAACATTGTCTTATGAACAGAATTCTGTTGTTCAGTGAGGAGAGACTGTACTGTATTACACTAGCTTTTTTATGAGAATGTATTGCATTTTTGGCTTATTTCATGATAGTTTATAATGTTATCAAATGTAATTTGGTAAACAAAGCATGGCAATCCTGAGTGAAATACTTGTCGGACTTACGTGGTTGTAAATTGTATGGTATCATATGTACTGTAATTAGTAATGCTGATATTCTTCTTTATACTAGGATAATGGTATAGCTTTCTTCAAAAACAACTATTGCTATTATTAACATGATCTAGATTTTCCAGGAGGTATCTTAAGGTATAGGTACCACGTAGTTTTTATCTTCCTTATACAGTGGACCCCCGGTTAACGATATTTTTTCATTCCAGAAGTATGTTCAGGTGCCAGTACTGACCGAATTTGTTCCCATAACAGACCCCCAAACATACACGTACAAACGCACTTATGTAAATACACTTACATAATTGGTCGCATTGGGAGGTGATCGTTAAGCGGGGGTCCACTGTACTGAATGGCATAATTATTGAGAGCATACCTCAATGTAAATTTGAATTTTTAATATGAGAATCAGTAAAGCTTCTTTGTACAAATTTTCTTCACAGTCTGCATTTTGAGAAATTATTCCACAGGGATCATCACATATGGTATTTCAAGAGCTGTCATATTACACTACATCAACAAAATTTGAGATAATTTATATTAGAAGAATTTTAATTATTTTAATGTATGAATGTATATATTTAGTGAAGGGATTCAGGGAAACCGGTTATTTTCATATAGTCGGACTTGAGTCCTGGAAATGGGAAGTACAATGCCTGCACTTTAAAGGAGGGGTTTGGGATATTGGCAGTTTGGAGGGATATGTTGTGTATCTTTATATGTATATGCTTCTAGACTGTTGTATTCTGAGCACCTCTGCAAAAACAGTGATAATGTGCAAGTGTGGTGAAAGTGTTGAATGATGATGAAAGTATTTTCTTTTTGGGGATTTTCTTTCTTTTTTGGGTCACCCTGCCTCGGTGGGAGACGGCCGACTTGTTGAAAAAAAAAAAAAATGAATGTATAGTGGTACAATCACTCTTTAATATGAATGTGAAGCATAGGTTGTGAATGTTGCTGCGAGGAGGAGGCTGGAGGCAGTGGAGACATGTCTGAGGCAATATGTGGTATAAATATACAGAGAATTTGTAGTTTGGAGATTAGGAGGAGGTGCAGAGTTATTAAAAGTAATATTCAGAAGGCAGAGGAGGGGTTGTTGAGGTAGTTTTTGTCATTTAGAGAGGATGGAGCAAAATAAGATGACTTGGAAAATGTATAAATCTGCAGTGGAGGGAAGGAGGGGTTGTCCTAGGGAAGGACATAGGGGGAAGGGGGGTTAAGGATGTTGTGTGCAAGGGGTTTGGGCATATAACAGGCATGTGTGAGGGTGTTACATAGAAGTGAGTGGGGACAAATGGTTTTTGGTACCGAGCTGTTGGAGTGTGGGCAGGGTAATATTTTGTGAAGGGATTCAGGGAAACCATTCAGCTGGACTTTAGTCCTGGAGGTAGGAAGTACAGTGCCTGTACCCTAAAGGAGGGATTTGGGATATTTGCTGTTTGGATGAACATCCGAACTGTTGTATCTGTGTGCCTCTGGCAAGAGAGTGATAATGTGAATGATGGTGAAAGCCTTTCTTTTTTGGGTCACCCTGCCTTGGTGGGAGATAGTGAGCTGCTCTTGTATAGAATATGCCACCTCAGGACCATGGAATTTCACAGCTTAATAAAGAATATTTGAAGCTAAGCTATTGGTAAAGAAAATTTTGTTTTTATTAAATGCTTTAGATTTCAATGTAAATTTGCTTCCTTAGGAAAGAATGGATTTAATAAATTATTGTTTACTTTTAATGATTTTTTTATGCAACTAACAAAACGGCACAATAATAATGAAATGAAATAATTCAATGTTTCAATAGTTTGGTGGGATACTTGTTAACCCTTCGAGAGTCCGTCCCGTAGTTCTAAGGCTCTGAAGCTGGGGTCCAAGTCGTAGTTCTACACCATTAGCTCAGCTCACTTGGATAATCTGTGAGTGGTAAATTTGGGCCTAGATATGAGAGAATACGTCTATGCAGTAAGCGTGCGCCACATAAAACAAATCCTGCAATACGCAGTGCATAATGAGGGAAAAAAACTGCGACCATATTTTTGGATTAAAACAGCGACTTTTTCGGTGTTCTTTTGTACGTTTTTTACAGATGTATTCGCAGTTTCTTGGTCTCAATTGATAGAAAGGAAGATATATTACAGAAATAGAGATGATTTTGATTGGTTTTAGTATTGAAAATGGCTTGAAACTGACCTCAAATTAGCAGAAGTAATAAATTTTTGCTGATGTTCAAGAGTAAACAAATGATGTTACGCATTCAATACACAGCTGGTGGGTCTAATGTGAGTTCACGAATGTGCTGATGTTATTTATACAATTATTACAATATTGCTTAACAGTAAATCTTTTATTTTTTTGATGTGAATAAAAAATCAAAATGGAATTCATATGTAAAGCCTGGAAACATAATAAACAGAGGAAATGTTATTTTAGTGCCGGGAATGTCTGCATTGTTTATTCTGGACCCTATTTTGAAATTGGAATATTTTGAACTTTGTGTGAAATTGGCCAAATTACCAATTTCCAGTCACTTTATTGGGTAGTTGAAACAGTTGACTGGGAGATTTCTTGTGCTCAGCCGATAAAATACTAGCGAAATAGCTAAGAATTTGGTCGACTGGAATAATACAATTGGCCTAAAAGGAGAGTCAAAGTGGGCAAAATCACCAGTGCGTAAATATCGCTGATGCAGCAAATTTCACAAGAGCATAATTTCATCAGTTTTCCATCATATATAATACTTTTTGTTTTATTACCTTCAGAAAAAGATTCTCTACCATTTCATAAGAAAAAAATAAAAAATTTTTTTTGAAAATTCTTGGACCCTGTGGACAAGTTTCAGATTGGAGGTCTGGACCCAGAAAAGGTTAAAGATGGCAGGTTAAAATAAGATCTTCTTCTTTCAACATATTGGCCATTTCCCACTGAGACAGGGTGGCCCAAAAAGAAAAAGAAATTTCTCTTTTTAACTTTAGTAATGTATATAGGAGAAGGGGTTACTAGCCCCTTGCTCCCGGCATTTTAGTTGACTTATGACACGCATGGCTTACGGAGGAAGAATTCTGTTCCACTTCCCCATGGAGATAAGAGGAAATAAGAACAAGAACTAGTAAGAAAATAGAAGAAAACCTAGAGGGGAGTGTATATATATGCTTGTACATGCATGCTTAGTGTGATCTACTCTAAGTGTAAGTAGAAGTAACAAGATGTTCCTGAAATCTTGCATGTTTATGAGACAGAAAAATGACACCAGCAATCCTACCTTCCTGTAAAACAATTACAGGCTTTCGTTATACACAACAGGATGGTAGTATCTCCCTGGGTGGTTGCTGTCTACCAACCTACTACCTAGGGTTAAAATAAGATATTTTTTTTAATTAAGTGGCCATCTCCCATTAAGAGATGGTGACCCCAAAGAAGAAGAAAAGTTATTATTCATTCAGTCACCATCTTTCCAGAAATGTACTGACATCATTATCAGATTACCCTCTGACTGTAACATCCCCACCCTTCCTTCAGAGTGCAGATACTGCCTTCCAACCTCCAGGACTCGAGTCCACCTAACCGGTTTTCCGAAATACCTTCATAAAAATTACCTTGCTAACGCTCCAATGGCATGTCCACTTTATGTACTTCTGACATAGTTGATGGCATCTGCAATGTTAAATTTATGCCAAAAGTTTGATACTGCAAGGTCAGAGTCAGTGTCCATTGCTGCAACAGGTTTCTGCATCACTTTTCATGTGTAGTTACACTTCGGTGTCCATACATACAGTATGTATGTATGTGCAAAAATTCTAGAGTGAGGAATTAAATTATACAATTTTTATATTCTCTGGTATGATCTTATGGAAAAGGATATAAAACTAATAACACAATTACTGCATTTTTGAGTAAGACAGACTGGTTTTTTGCATACATGAGCATGATAAACAAAAGCAGACTTTTGAATTACTTGCATGAAGTGGTAGGCAGTGCTAAGTATCCATAAATATGATTGTGGTACATATTTAGAAAATAAGCCTGATGAACTATTCTGCTTTTCTGAAATGATTCCTTAACTTTAGATACATATTAAAGTGAGACGTATATCTATTTGCATATTGTTCTGTAATAGAAAAATTTGCTTTCTTGCATAGTAGTGTGTCATAGTATAGCACCTTCTTGTCAGTGTTCCACATTTTCGTTGGCTTTAAATTGAGCCATTGTTTATTGTGCTCCACCTGCCAATGATTTTTGCTGGCAGGTGGAACAACGGCTTGGTTGAAAGACAACAGAAATGTGGAACACCAAGAAGTGGTGCTGTATTTACAGGGACCTCCTTGTATTTTGGGTATATGCATGATATTTGGTAATCAAATATATATTTCTTTGGCCTTCTACTCTTGAATTGTTTTTCTGAGATTTAACTGAAACTTTATAACATAAACCAAGCAGCTAGAGGAACATCAGTGTGCAAGAAGCGAACAAGGTAATGGGCACAGCAGAGAGCAGTTACTCACTCAGGGATCACGAGTTGAGTCAGAAGAAGAGGAGGAGGAGGAGGTTGATGCTCAACTTGCTAATGCCTCTCTCTTTATGGAACTGAGAGATGAGTACGGGCAAGGCACACACAATGTGTCAAATCAAACACTGGTAATTGGCTGCAGTTGTCTAGCATTTGAGTGTCAATCTTCCGATGAGGAATTTTAATACTTTTTAATGAAAGTAACATTTTTCATTTAATATATTTATTTATTATACATTAAATCAAGTAACTTCTTTTAAAGGGACATAATTTTAATTACGTACTCTTTCTAGTCAAGTAAAACATGAAATAAAGTTACATATAAGAAATAAAATAAAAGTTAATATTCTTAATTTACACTTACCAGCTTCAAACCATCGAAGAACGTGTGGAGCGAACTACCCGGGAACTGGAAGCTTTGCAGTTGTCTGTATCCTCTGCTTCACATTCTGCTGAGGATCTTTCACTACAGTGAGTGTTTTATTTTATTTTTTTTTTTTTTAAATCTTTTTCTGTGTATCAAAGAAAGATGACTTTTAACAAGACTTTGAAGAGGAGTACAAAAGCCAGAAATTGTCTTTGCAATAATATTTTACATAAGATGGCATGAGTGAATGTTGGTGAATGTATTTTCTTCTTTGGTTAACCCTGCCTTGGCGGAAGATAACTGTTGGGTTAAAAAAAAAAAATGTTCCTGGAATTTCAATTTAAGGACAGTTGTGTAGGTAATGGTGGAGCACATGAGTTTATTAATATCTTGGAGAAATTCTGTAACTTAATCATATTGATTTCTCTTTTGTTTCATATAGTTGCATCTTCCCTGTTCTATAATATTCATAAAATATTAAAGCAGTTTTATTAAGTTCCTGTCCACTATGGAAGCATTTACTTTACATTTGCATGCCTCCCTTTATACAGTACAGTACACTCTTCATTTTCATCCTAGGGGGGCAATGTGGCAGATGTTGCAGGTGTATGGTGTAGGAGGTAGGTTACTGAAAGCAGTGAAGAGTTTTTACGAGGATAGTGAGGCTCAATTTAGAGTATGTAGGAAAGAGGGAAATTATTTCCCAGTAAAAGTAGGCCTTAGACAAGGATGTGTGATGTCACCGTGGTTGTTTAATATATTTATAGATGGGGTTGTAAGAGAAGTAAATGCGAGGGTCTTGGCAAGAGGCGTGGAGTTAAAAGATAAAGAATCACACATAAAGTGGGAGTTGTCACAGTTGCTCTTTGCTGATGACACTGTGCTCTTGGGAGATTCTGAAGAGAAGTTGCAGAGATTGGTGGATGAATTTGGTAGGGTGTGCAAAAGAAGAAAATTAAAAGTGAATACAGGAAAGAGTAAGGTTATGAGGATAGCAAAAAGATTAGGTGATGAAAGATAGGATATCAGATTGGAGGGAGAGAGTATGGAGGAGGTGAATGTATTCAGATATTTGGGAGTGGACATGTCAGCGGATGGGTCTATGAAAGATGAGGTGAATCATAGAATTGATGAGGGGAAAAGGGTGAGTGGTGCACTTAGGAGTCTCTGGAGACAAAGAACTTTGTCCTTGGAGGCAAAGAGGGGAATGTATGAGAGTATAGTTTTACCAACGCTCTTATATGGGTGTGAAGCATGGGTGATGAATGTTGCAGCAAGGAGAAGGCTGGAGGCAGTGGAGATGTCATGTCTGAGGGCAATGTGTGGTGTGAATATAATGCAGAGAATTCATAGTTTGGAAGTTAGGAGGAGGTGAGGGATTACCAAAACTGTTGTCCAGAGGGCTGAGGAAGGGTTGTTGAGGTGGTTCGGACATGTAGAGAGAATGGAGCGAAACAGAATGACTTCAAGAGTGTATCAGTCTGTAGTGGAAGGAAGGCGGGGTAGGAGTCGGCCTAGGAAAGGTTGGAGGGAGGGGGTAAAGGAGGTTTTGTGTCCGAGGGGCTTGGACTTCCAGCAGGCATGCGTGAGCGTGTTTGATAGGAGTGAATGGAGACAAATGGTTTTTAATACTTGATGTGCTGTTGGAGTGTGAGCAAAGTAACATTTATGAAGGGGTTCAGGGAAACTGGCAGGCCGGACTTGAGTCCTGGAGATGGGAAGTTAATGGGTGTTAATGTTGCAGTTTAAAAACTGTAGTGTAAAGCACCCCTCTGGCAAGACAGTGATGGAGTGAATGATGGTGAAAGTTTTTCTTTTTCGGGCCACCCTGCCTTGGCGGGAATCAGCCAGTGTGATAATAAATAAAAAATAATCGTCTACATCAATATACATTATACAGGTACAGCACTGATACTCCTGCACGCTTGGTTCTGGACCAGCAGAGCTCATACAGTTATGATTCAAAAATACACCTCTGTCCTACCATGGTCTTTTGTAAACGTGAATTAAACAATAGTATCACCGAAATCAGTTAGCCGGTCTTGAGTCCTGGAGGTGGGAAGTACAATGCCTGCACTCTAAAGGAGGGGTTTGGGATATTTGATGTTTAAAATGACATTTATACTGTCATATCTGCATGCCTCTGGCAAAACAGTGATTATGTGAGTGGAGGTAAGTGGTTTTTATGATTTGATATTCTATTGGAGTGTGAGAAAGGTAACACTGATAAAGGTATAGAGGAAAACTGGTTAGCCACACTCAAGTCCTGGAGGTGGGAAGTATAGTTCCTGAGCTCTGAAGGAGAGGTGGGGATGTTGCAGTTTGGAGGGGCGTGTGAACTATGCTGTTGGTGCACTTCTGGCAAGACAATGATTAAATGAATAACAGTGTAAATGTTTTCTTTGTCCAGTCACCCCTACCTTGGTGGGAGATGGCCAGTGCTAAAAAATGCCTAAAAATTTCACTGAAATCATTATTTTACATAGTTTTCCTAACAAGTTTTATACTACACTTGAGTGTTAAAAACTGTAATATTCCACCTACACCTCTGTCACATGATAACACAACAAAAGTGTGAAAGTCTTTTATGTATAGAGAAAGTTTGGCATTCATCACTGATAATAATTTCATTTGCAAATTTAGCTTAAAATTTTCAAGATGATTTTATTGTTTAATTGCCTGCTTCACAGAAGTTCACAAAGTAATGATACAACATGTTAAGGGAGAAAAAGAAAGAAAATTCAGCAGATAATGCACTTCAACCTCGGGGGATGAATATAGTGTATTCCTTGCTTTAATGTGCTAATTTATAAAATTAACCTTGCATTGTTGAACCTTATTTAAGTATAATAATATTTCAAAATTTTATAATGATGTTCAAAGGTGGCAAGAATGATGCATGCAGCACACTGTAACTTCACAGCATTTTTCAACATTATCTTGAATTTACTTGTTTTGGTTATTGTATGCTTTATATGCAAATTTATAATTTGCATTGTTGAATATTATTGTAAAATGTAGGGGTTACATTAATGATGCTTAGTTGTATAGGAAAATAAGAATCACAAAAGATGCATGCTGCCATAATTTCTCCCTCATTCTGAATGTAAACACGCTCAACATTTTTTTGTAGGATTAAGTTTCTCACATATCACATGTATCATATTCAGTGTTGTCAGCCTTCAAGGTGCGCTAAAAACCCAGTTGATTCTTAAGTGTTGCCAAGGCTTAATGGTGGTGACAGTGGAAGGGAAAGCGATTGAAAACTCAACAAATAACACACTGTATCTTGAGGGCTGAATATTTTTAATGATATGCTTGAAGTTTGCTGTCTTATTATGAATGTAGAATTAGTTCTTAGAGAGAATATCAGAAAAGCTGAAGATTTTCAAGACAGTTTAAAATTCTAATTTAAGCTTCAAATTTAATAACAAGAGATGTGATTGTGGTAATTTGCACAACATGAGTGAAGGTATATGCTATGTGCGTTGCAAAGCTTTGTGCAGCAACATAAATGCATGGTGCTTTGCATGGTGCAATGAGATTCACTACAGCAGGTGAGAGGTGTTATTTTTTTCTTAGTTAATTTGAAAAACAGTATATATGTTCATTCGATGTTTGTGTGGTGTATTTCTATTTTTTAATTGATCAAGAAAAAATTAAATTGTTGATGAGGACTGAATGTTATATTTTACTTATTTTTATTCTTTAACATGCTAGCCATCTCCCACCAAGGCAAGGTGATGGGACCTCCCCCCCCCCAAAAAAAAAAAAAAAAACTTTTACCATCAGTCACACTATCACTGTCTTGCCAGAAGCACACAGATACAACAGCTTAGATGTCACTCTAAACAGCAGATATCCCAAACCCCTCCTTTAGATTGCAGGCACTGTACTTCCCACCTCCAGGACTCAAGTCAGGCTAACTGGTAAATTCCCTGAATCCCTTCACACAATATTACCCTGCTCACACTCCAACAGCTCGTCAAGCCCCAAAAAACATTTGTCTCCTCTCACTCCTATCTAACATGCTCACACATGCATGTGTCCAAGCCCCTTGCACACAAAACCTCCTTTACCCCCTCCCAACCTACCTGGAGGGTGTTCTGGGGGTCAGTGCCCCCACAGTGCAGTCCTTGACCAGGCCTTGTGGTTGATCAGGCCCTGATCAACCAAGCTGCTACTGCTGGCCATATATAGTCCAATGTACAAACCACAGCCCGGCTGATTGGGTACTGATGTTAGTTATCTGTCTGGCTCCCTCTTGAAGGCAGCCAGAGGGGTCTATTGATAAATCCCCTTATGCCTTGTGGGAGGCTGTTGAACAGTCTTGGGCCCTACACACTTATTTTGTTTTCTCTTAGTGTACTAATGGCACCCCTACTTTTCATTGCTTTCTTAAAGATTGATTTCTGTGTGCAGATTTGGGACAAATCCATTTAGGATTTTCCAGGTGTATATTACGATGTATCCCTCTCGCCTGCTCCAGTGAGCATAGGTCAATCATCTCCAAGCATTCCAAATGTTTTATTTTCTTGCTTTTAGTAATTTATACAGGAGAAGGGGTTACTAGCTCATTGCTTCCAGCATTTTAGTCGCCTCTGAGATATTAACCCTTTGAGGGTCGGTCACGTACATGTACATCTTAACAGCCAGTGTCGGTCACGTACTTATACTCGTACTTCTAGCGCCTTTAAATCTGGTGGAAGAAAGCTGGTAGGCCTACATATGAAAAATGGGTCTGCATGGTCACTGCAGCAGACAGTGCATGAGAGAAAAAAAAAACTCTGACCATGTTTTTGGTTTAAAACAGCGACTTTGTAACCATGTTTTTGGTTTAAAACAGCGACTTTGTAGTGTATTTTTGTATGGTATTTATGATTGTATTCTCGTTTTCTTGGTCTCATTTGATAGAATGGAAGATATATTACAGAAATAGAGCTGATTTTGATTGGTTTCACGATAAAAAGTACCTTGAAATTGAGCTCAAAATAGCAGAAATGTTCGATTTTTGCTAATGTTCAAGAGTAAACAAATCACTCCACGCTTCCAATACACGTTAACTGGTGAGTCTAATATTCTTTCACAAGTGCACTGATATTATTTATACCATTTTTACAATAATGCAGTTGTCTGCATAACAGTAAATCTTCTATTTTTTTGTGAGAATGAAAGTTCAAAATGGAAAGCAGGAGTAATATAAGAATGGCCTGGAGACATGACTAATGAACAGAGAAAATGTTATTTTAGTGCCAGGAATGTCTGTCTTGTTTATTCTGGACCCTATTTTGAAATTGGCATCTTTGGAAATTTGTGTGAAATTGGCCAAATTGCCAATTTCTTATCACTTTATTGGGTAGTTGAAATCAGTAAATGGGCGATTTCTTGTACTCAGTCGATAGAACAAATGTAGTTCTAGCGAAATAGCTATGATTTTATTCGACTGGAACATTGGAATTGGCTGAAAATAGGGCTCAAATTGGGTGAAATCACCGATGCGTAAATATTGTTGATACCACTAACTTTGCAAGAGAATAATTCCCTAAGTTTTCCATGAAATTTCATACTTTTGGTGTCATTATCATCAGGGAAAGGTTCTCTTATCATTGCGTTGGAAAACAATTTTTTTTTTCTTTTACCCTGAGTGGGAGTTCAGGATCGAGGGTCTCGACCCTCCAAGAGTTAATAATAGAAATAAAAATTATAATGTCACTTTATTAATTGCTAAACCCTTATGAGTCATACAGTGCTGTACATTAATGAAAAGTTGTTAATTTTTTCTTTGTGAAAAAATTTGATTTGGGTTTATTCTTTGTAGATTTACACCTTGTCTAATTATTTGTCTCCATGGGGAAGTGAAACAGAATTCTTCCTCCAAGAGCCATGTGTGTTGTAAGAGGTGACTAAAATGGCAGGAGCAAGGGGATAGTGACCCCTTCTCCTGTATATATTACTAAATTTAAAAGGAGACACTTTTGTTTCTTCTTTTGGGCCACACCACATCGGTGGGATGCAGCCCGTGCGTTGAAAGAAGAAGTATTTATTTGTCATAATTATTTAAAGAGCTTTTGAACTTAATATGCATATATTACAGGGATGTTCCGCCTTTACAAGAAATAGAGGCTGACCATGCCTCTTTATTACCTGCATCCGTTGAGTTTCGATTAGAAGACAAACTTCTTACACTTGAGCGCACCATGGAAGCAGCTGTGAAACGTACTCGAGACCTTGAAATGACTCTGAAAAACCTTAGAGTGGATTATGAGGTTTGTGTTGCTTTAAGTTACTTTAGTAATAACTTTGTACTTACAAAATAATAATGCTAACTTAAGAATGCAAAAATTACTATTTATAATACTTCAAAACAAGGGCAGTGTTTTGTGTGATTTTATATTTATGATATTTGTAGTTAAAGGAGGAGACATATTCTTGGAGTGCTCCTTCAGTGTTTAGTTTGTTATACAGTGGACCCCCGGTTAACGATATTTTTTCACTCCAGAAGTATGTTCAGGTGCCAGTACTGACCGAATTTGTTCCCATAAGGAATATTGTGAAGTAGATTAGTACATTTCAGACCCCCAAACATACACGTACAAACGCACTTACATAATTGGTCGCATTCGGAGGTGATCGTTATGCTGGGGTCCACTGTAATTTTAAGTTTCCAGTGATTGTATCACATATTACCTCATGGACAGGGGATAGCTCAAAGTTTTATATAGAAGCATAGGGGTGGCACTCTGGTTGATAGAAGAGGGTAGGGGATTTGTCTTCAGAAGTATTATTATTACTTTAATCTATTGTTATTACAGTGGTACCTCGAATTTCAGCCATAATTCGTTCCAGAAGGCTATTCGAGTGCTGTTACCAAACAAATTTGTTCCCATAAGGAATAATGTCAATTAGATTAGTCTGTTTTAGACCCCAAAAATACACTTACAAAAGCACTTAAAAAATACACTTACATAATATTTTGAGTTGGGAGCTGTTCGAAATACGAGGTACCACTGTATTATTATTTGGGGAGCTGAGGGAATTTTGAGGGCGTACCTCCCTTCTTCCTATTGCTGCCCCCAGTTCTGGATCCCAGCTCAGCTGTGTACTACTGTTTGTAAAGAAATATTTCTGGCATTCTTTAATTTTTGTTATTTTTTTAGTTTAGTTGAGTTTACCATTGTAACCTCATGTTTTCCTTATTGAGAGTGCTAAAATAAAGCCTCTCTGTTTCTTGTGTTCGTTTATGATTATCTTTTGCCCTATGTTTTTCCTGTTTTCTTCTTATTTACCAACAAAAGCATTAAAATATTTTTAAGTCTCTCCTTATAGATCATCTCTCGTAACTCTCAGCCATTTTCTTACCCATCTTCAAAATTTTTATATTATATCTATGTTTATTTTCATTCTCCGTTTTTGTTTTGTATAAGATGTAAGCTAGGACGTACTGAGGAAAATACAACGATAAAAAATATAAAAAAAATCATACAAGTTTTTTTTTGATTAGAACATTCTTTAAATATTCAGTATTCTCTTCTGATTAAAAGAATTTGTTAAATAATTCTCATAAATATATATAAAAAAAATCATACAAGTTTTTTTTTTGATTAGAACATTCTTTAAATATTCAGTATTCTCTTCTGATTAAAAGAATTTGTTAAATAATTCTCATAAATATTTCATAATATTTTAATGCAGGAAGTGACTGCAGAACGAGATATGCTTCAGGAACTTTCAAAAGAGCAGCTAATACAGATCTCTGGTCTTGAGGCTCGTTTAGATGAAATTCGTCGTTCAGATCATCCTATGACTTCTGAACTCAAGCAGAGGATTAATGCAGTTCAAGAAGATCTGGAAAAGAAAAGAAGTGAATTAGCCAAAAAGGGAAGAGAGGTCAGTACAGTGAATCTTAACATAAATATATATATGTGTGCTAGTAGTTTGCTTCTATATAAATTATTAAAGATAATAATAAGAAAAAAACTTTTCTTTGCCGGGTCACCCTACTTTGGTGGGAGACACCTAGTGTGTAAAAAAAATAACTCCATTTTTGTTTAAATGCATGAATGCTATCTTTGAAACTCATAATTTTTAGCTTCGTAGGCAGTCTTTATCCATGGAGATACTAGCATCCTTTAGTATTTAGTGTGAAACTGAGGCCTCTAAAGCATTTTCTCATTACTGTTGGTCTTTTCTGTCTCAGGAACATGTAAGATGGCAAGTAAGTCTTACTAACTTCTAAGTACCTTACATTCATTACACACGTATTTTTATTTTCTTGTGTGTTTGGGTTTTATTATTATTTATCTTGTAAAAGTGCTAAACCTAGGTAGTAGATTGGTAGACAGCAGTCGCGCAAGGAGGTACTACCGTCCTGCCAGGTGAGTGTAAAACGAAAGCCTGTAAGTGTTTTACATGGTGGTGGGATTGCTGGTGTCTTTTTTCTGTCTCATAACCATGCAAGATTTCAGGTACGTCTTACTACTTCTACTTACACTTAGGTCACACTACACATACATGTACAAGCATATATATACACACACCTCTGGGTTTTCTTTTGTTTTCTTACTAGTTCTTGTTCTTGTTTATTTTCTCTTACCTCCATGGGGAAGTGGAACAGAATTCTTCCTCCGTAAGCCATGCGTGTTGTAGGAGGCGACTAAAATGCCGGGAACAAGGGGCAAGTAACCTCTTCTCCTGTATATATTACTAAATGTAAAAGGAGAAGTTTTCGTTTTTCCTTTTGGGCCACCCCGCCTCGGTGGGATACGGCTGGTGTGTTGAAAGAAAGAAAGATACACCCCTCTGGGTTTTCTTCTATTTTCTTACTAGTTCTTGTTCTTGTTTATTTCCTCTTATCTCTATGGGGAAGTAGAACAAAATTCTTCTTCCATAAGCCATACATGTCATAAGAGGTGACTAAAATGCCAGGAGCAAGGGCCTGGTAACCCTTCTCCTGTATACCTTACTAAAGTTAAAAAGAGGAACTTTGTTGTTCTTTTTGGGTCACCCTGCCTGGATGGGATACGTCCGGTTTGTTGACAGAAGAAGAAGTGCTAAAATCATGGAGATCATATAGCACCTGGGAAATAGGAAGTAATTAGGTTTAATTTAAGGAAGGTGAATGCAGCCTCAGTTTCTTGATTCAAGAGCTATTCACTTTTATCAAGAGAAAGTTTAAGTGAAGAGCAGATAAATGATATACACTGCTTTGCAACAAGCTTTTTTTTTTTTTAAATAAATGTTAAAATTCATTTCTTAATGAGCTATCCTTCTTTTGAAAGAGAATTTGAGATAATAACAAGTGATATTGGCAGTTTGGAGGGATATGTTGTGTATCTTTATACGTATATGCTTCTAAACTGTTGTATTCTGAGCACCTCTGCAAAAACAGTGATTATGTGTGAGTGTGGTGAAAGTGTTGAATGATGATGAAAGCATTTTCTTTTTGGGGATTTTCTTTCTTTTTTGGGTCACCCTGCCTCGGTGGGAGACGGCCGACTTGTTGAAAAAAAAAAACAAGTGATTTACGAAAATATTACTTACAGATAGAGGAACTTAAACATAATCTGTCGAGTACCAGAGGAAAGCTGATGTCACGTGAGGAGGAACTAGAACGAATACAGTCAATGACACAGCCTCACAGTCTTCCTCAAACCACTTCTGACCAACTTCTCACAAAGCAGAAACAGCTGGAGGATGAAATAGCTTCAAAAAATAACCTTATTGATAATTTGAAGGTTGGTTTCAATTTAGATAATAGATTCAGGAGTTTGATTTTTGGTAATGTTATAAGTATATGTAAATTTATAAAAAATTATGTGTCAACTATACATTGCATTTTAAATCATATAAATTAGGCTTGACCAAAGCAAATACTCTTATATTTTATTAGTACGTAAATGATGTTTTAAGTGAAAAATATTGAGATTCACATTAGCTCCCTGTTTTATATTTTTACCGATAATAACGATGCACTTTCTCCAGTTTAATTAATTTTCTCAACTTAAACTGTCTTAGTAAGGCTCTTCTTATAATTATCCAGCAATTCATTTTGTGTGTTCTGTAGTATTTTTGAAATTAGATCATAAACCAGTGATATCTTAATATGGAATATTACCACAGTGAAAAGTAGTAGTAGGTAGTAGGTTGGTAGACAGCAATCACCCAGGGAGGTACTACCATCCTGTGGTAGTAGGTTGGTAGACAGCAGCCACCCAGGGAGGTACTACCATCCTGCCAAGTGAGTGTAAAACGAAAGCCTGTAATTGTTTTACATCATGGTAGGATTGCTGGTGTCTTTTGTCTGTCTCATAAACATGCAAGATTTCAGGTACATCTTGCTACTTCTGCTTACACTTAGGTCACACTACACATTCATGTACAAGCATATATATACACACCCCACTGGGTTTTCTTCTATTTTCTTTCTAGTTCTTGTTCTTGTTTATTTCCTCTTATCTTTTTGGGGAATTGGAACAAAATTCTTCCTCCATAAGCCATGCGTGTTGTAAGAGGCAACTAAAATGCTGGGAGCAAGGGGATAGTAACCTTTTCTGTACAAATTACTAAATTTATAAAGAAAAACTTTTTTCTTTTTGGGCCACCCTGCCTTGGTGGGATAAGGCCGGTTTGTTGAAAAAAAAAAGTAATAATGTTCACTGTTATATTGCATGTAGCATTTTGACATCCTTACTGTTATATGCCTCACAAACTTTTTTTCTCTTTGTTCTCGGTGTGTATAACTTTACAGCTATATACAGTAGGTACCACTACACACATTCTGTGTATCTCTTCATTCATTTTTGCTTTTTAGTACATCAGCATTTTGCTACCAAGGCTGAGTAGAGTTAGTTAGCGAAGGAAATACATTGCTCTCTTACTAGAAGTGTACAAACATCACAGTTGCAATGACCCATTGAACTGCAACATTGTTACCCATCCCATGGGTCCTCACTTCTTCCAGGCTCAATGATGTATTGAGTGAATCATTTTGTCATAATTACAAAAACAGTTTTAAGCTAGCTTATATTTTTTTTATTGTTTTTTTTTTTTTTCAGAAGGAGCTTGTAAGTGCTAGTCAACCAGATATTATCCCATCAACATTAGCTCAGAGTCTTATAGAAGATAAAAATGCTGAGATAAAAGAACTGATTGAGCAACTTATGACTATAAAATCTAGAGTCAGTGAGGTGATCACACACATTGCAAATAATGGAAGTCTTGTGGAATGTCAAAACCTGGTTAGTATACTTCACTTTCTGTACATGGTAGTATTAGTGATATTAATGTTCAGAAGTTTTCATTTTATTACCCTTATACTTCACAACTAACTCACAAAATAAAGACAACACTAGACCACAAAGAATAAGAAGGCAAAATACTGTGACTAGAACAATACACAAATAAATAGCCCACAGATAGGAGAAATAAACTTATGACTACGTTTTGGTCCGAAATGTTGTGATAAGTTTCTTTCCTCTGTTTATGGATTATTTGTGTAATGGACCACATTTTGGTCCATATTTGGCCATTATCAAATTGTTACTTGGCAATGGTTGATGGCAGATTGTAATGTCAGTATTACTCACGAGCCCCACTTGTTTTGTGATCCATCAGTATGGTTTCATTTGTGGTGTCTGGGTTGCTTGTGAATTGTAGCCACAGGATTGTGACTTATTCTTTACCTACTTATTCTAAGAAATAGCATTTGTGCCCCAATTCCTTGAATCGAGTCTGAATGCCTTCCATGCCCCCAAGCACTGTATGACTCCGGGTTTAGCACTCCCTCATGAATAATAATAGTACATAGTAGTAATAATAATAATAATAATTCACCCTCTTACTACTTTAAAGTACATAAATTTAGAAATTCTCTATGGGAAAGCAGAGAAGAGTCCTTCATCCCCAAGCCATGCATGATATAAGAGGTGAATTAAATGCTGGGAGGAAGGGGATAGTAACCCCCTTTTCCTGTAGAAATTACTAAATGTAAAAAGAAAAACTCATTTTTCTTTTCAAGTCGCCCTGCCTCAGTGGGATACGACCGGTTTGTTGAAATAAAAAATAAAGAAATTGAATCCTATTCATTAAATGTTTTCCTTCCTCATCAGTGAGCAAATATTTGTCTTGTGTTTGTTTCAAGGACTGGATGGAGAGCATGAAAGGAAATTCTATCCAGTATCTATTTTAGATAATTTGTCATATTTAAATGGCCTTAAAATATGTGAAGGATGTCTAATTCTCTATACTCAGTACTATTTCCAGGGCATAAATTATTCTATTAGAAAAGCTAAAACAGTAATGATAAATATAAAAACTAACAAAAACTTAAACTAAATAGACCAAGTAATTTTTTTTCCTAGACTATGCCAGACCACCGAGGAGTGCATATATCTATCTTATCATGAGCGTTCCTTAATTCCTTGATGTTTATATCTACATGACTTGTGGGCTTAATAACATTAATGTACTCAGTAATAAGTAATCTAGAAGAGAGTGCATAGTGTTGTCCCTAAGAAGGGTTTTCTGTCTTAAGTCTGAAGCATTCAACATATGGCATTGAACTGATGTTCAAAAATAAAATTATTTTGATCATACTATTCCAAATTGAATGACATGAATGAAATGTATATGGTAGATAATTTATAGACAAAGTATGAGAGTATTCACATAGAAGAGGGCCTCATACAGCAGATTAGGTTCTGGACTACTTCTGTTGTAAAGCAAAGTTCAGTGTAAATTGAATCATAGTCTTTTTCATATTCAAATGTATATAAGAGTCTGATAGCATGTTTACACTATCATATATTAAGTGAGCAATAGAGCCAGGCCTAAAAAATACATATATATTACACATATTACTTAATTTAAAATATTTTCGTCCTTGGCTTATAGTGAATGGTGAATACAGTGGTACCCCAAGTTTCGAATTTTCTTTGTTCAGAAGGCTGTTCGAGTGCCATTATTGAACGAATTTGTTCCCATAAGGAATACTGTAAATTTGATTAGTCCGTTTCAGACCCCCAAAAATGCACTTACAAAAGCACTTGCATAATACACTTACATAATTGGTCGAGTTGGGAGCAGTTCGAAACTTGGGGTACCACTGTATATTTATTGTAGGAAATCTGAATAAATGAAGAATGATTATAATTAAAAACCACTGCATTATTGAAATGCTGTATATGTATGTCAGGTTGTATATAATTATGCTGTATATCTTAGTGTTTATTTTTCTTAAGTATCAAATATTTAACATTTTTCTTCTCTTTCATAGCTTCAGAATATTCTTAGAGGACGTAATGAATTCTGTAGTCAACTAAGTGATACTGAAACTCCAGAAGTTCTGAGAAAATCATCGATGGTACATCATCCCGATTCTGCTACTATTGAGGTAATTAATGATGATAAATTATTGAGGGTGTGTAAAGGAAGCTGAAAGTGAGCATAAATGAGAGTAAGGTGATGAGTGTATCAGATGAATTAAGTAAGAAAAACTGGATATCAAATTAGAGGGAGGGAGTTTGGAAGAAGTGAACATGTCCAGAAATTTGGGAGTGGACACGTCGGTGGATGGTATACGAAGGACGAGGTAAATCATAGAATTGAGAAAGGGAAAAAGGTGGGTGGTGCATTGAGGTATCTGTGGAGATAAAGAGCCTTATTCATGGAGGCAAGGAAGGGAATGTATGAGAGTAGTGGTACCAACACTCTTATATGGGTATGAAGCATGGGTTGTGAATGTTGCAGCAAGGAAGAAGCTGGAGGCAGTGTGTGGCGTAAATATTATGCATAGATTTCGTAATTTGGAGATTAGGAGGTGTGGAGTTACTAAAAGTATTATACAGAAAGCTGAGGAGGGGTTGTTGAGGTGGTTTGGTCATTTAGAGAGGATGGAGCAAAATAGGATGACTTGGAGGGTGTATAAATCTGTAGTGGAGGGAAGGCTATGTAGGGGTCATCCTAGGAAAGGATGGAGGGAGGGGGGTAAAGGAAGTTTTATGTACAAGGGGCTTGGACATGCAGCAGGCATGTGTGAGCATGTTAGATAGGAGTGAGTAGAGACAAATGGTTTTTAGGACTTGATGGGCTGTTTTAGTATGAGCAGAGCAATATTTTGTGAATGGATTCAGCAAAACCAGTTAGCTGGACTTGAGTCTTGGAGGTGGGAAGTATAATGCCTTCACCTTAAAAGAGGGTTTCGAATATTGGCTGTTTGAAGTGACATCTAAACTATCGTATCTGTGTACCTCTGACAAGACAGTGATAGTGTGAATGATGGTGCCTTGGTGAGAGATGGCCAGCTTGTTAAAAAAAAAAAAAAAATTTTTTAAGCTAGCCATTAAAACTTAAGGAGTTGCTTTTCTCAGGTGGCTCTAATTTCCTAATTTATGAGTACACCAGCAAGTTAATGTTTTAGACATTTAGATACGGTTATAATAACAAGTAGGTCTATGGAAAATGAAGGAATTCACAGTATAGTTGAGGGGAAAAAATTACTGGACCGACAGTATGAAAATTGCATATTGTGGTCAGCGGAAAGAAATTTAGATACTGTTAATGGATGCCCCTTTTTTTATATTGGTTTGGATAACTTCAGTAAGCATATGGTCTCAGTCTACTGAATTATCCAGATTTGAAAACCTTGATATTAGCTGATCATATGTATCTTTTGATCTGAACAATATGTGTTGTACGTTCTTTCTCATTTTTTTTCAGTATGCAGGTAACCCACCTGTCCCATTCTATGACAGAGAGCATACGTATAGATCTGCTTCATATTAACTTGTAATAAAAATGATTATGCAAAGAGTACTGGTTACTAAACTTACTGTCTTTGTAATTGCTTTATTGAGTCAGCCACAGTGTACAAAAGAATTCTGTGGTTGAGTTGATACAGGTCTGATTTTGCAGTTGCATGGATGAAGACTTCATCTCCAGTAATCTTTATATAATTTATTACCTTTGCAATTCTCATATCTTGAAAAGATTTTATACATTTTAGTACATCTGCAGTTTTTTTTTTTTTTTCTCTCTCTAATCTTTCTTGGTTTAACAGATGAATAGTATCAAGGAAGGTCACTCAGCTGTCAACAGTTCCACTGGTAAAAGTGAGGAAGGAGTGTCCATCACTCATCCATCAAGTGTTGACTTGACTTTCATGTCTGTACAGCCTGAGGCTCCCATTGAGTTATCAAAGGTATCATCTCATGACTCAAGCATAACCAAGGTAAGATCAAAATGATGCTGCTTTTCATATTGTTTCTACTTCAAATGCAATTCAGTGAGTTCTCATGTCGTATTATTTGCTGCAGACATTAATTAATTTTATAGCTTTATGTATTACAGTACTCGAGTACTGTTTTACTAGATATGTATTACAGTACTCAAGTACTGTAATACATATCTAGTTGTTTTAGGACTGCATCTATGCTTATATGTAGTATTTTTTATAATTAAAATTTAATACCTTAATGATTGCTATTTGGTTAGCTTTTAACAAAATTTTCTCTAGTGCTATCAATAAATGCTGCATTTGAAATTAATATTGTCATGACATAAATCGCTCCATATATATAAAACCAGATTAAGAAAGTGTTAAAAAATTGTCATGAGAAGAGTTAATGTCTTGATCATTCAGTATATACTATAATTGTGAGAGTTGTCACAAATTGCTGTTTGCCAAATACACTGTTTTTGGGGGAACTTTTAAAGAGAAGTTGCAATGATTAGAAGGTAAACTTGGGAAGGTATGCAAAAGAAGGAAATTAAAGTTGAACATAGGAAAGAGCAAGGTGTTGAGAGTAACAGAAAATTTAGACAATGAAAGATTGGATATCTGATTGAAGGGAGAGAGTATGGAGAAAATAATTGTTTAGATATTTGGGAGTGGACTTGTCAGTAGATGGGTTTATGAAAGATGAGGTGACCTGTAGAACTGATGAGATAAAAAAGGTGGGTGGTTCATTGAGGCACCTGTGGAGACCAAGAATCTTATTCATGGAAGCAAAAAAAGAGAATGTACTAGAGTATAGTGGGGCAAACACTTTTATGGGTGTGAAACATAGATTTTAAATGTTACATGAAGAGGAGGCTGGAGGCAGTGGAAAAAATGTGTTTGAAACAATTTGTTGTGTGAATATAATGCAGAGAATTCAGAGCTAGGAGATTCAAAGGTGGTGTGGGGTTACCAAAAGTATTATTCGAAGGGCAGATGAGGGGTTGTCGAGGTGGTTTGGACATGTAGAGAGGATGGAGTAAAATAGGATGACTAGGAGGGCATATAAATCTGGGGGAAAGGGAAACAGGGGTAGGGATCATACCTGGAAGGGTTGGAAGGAAGGGGTAAAGGAGGTTTTGAGTGCTAGGGACTTGCACATCTGACAGGTTTGTGTGAGGGTGGTGGATAGGAAGTGGAGGCAAGGGGTTGAAGTGTGAGCAAAGTAACATTTATGAAGGGATTAAGGGAAACTGGTTAGCTGGACTTGTATCCTAGTAATGGGAAGTACAGGGTCTTCACTCTAAAGAAGGGTTTGGGGTGTTTCAGCTTTGAGGGTCAGTTTAACCATGAAGTCTTGCATGTTGTTGTACCTTAGTGTGAGATGGTCAGTGTGTTTTAAAAAAAATCCTTAAAGTCATGTCTAAACAAAAGAAACTTTGTCATTATATAACTTAATGAATAATATTAACATTCTCAAATATTTGGCAATGCTGACTATTTTTCTCTCATGTTTTTCATTGTTTTATGTTTTATTAAATGCAGGGGTCACATGTGTCAGAAGATAACAAAATTGGTGAATCATGTCTGTCTTCATTGGCTGCTGCTGCTACTACTGCTGTTACTGCTGCTGCTACAACTACTACTACTACTGCTGTTACTGCTACTGGCAAGGTTAGTCTGCTGAAGTTTAAATAGTTCATTGTGAGCAGCACTTTTTTGTCTTATGATTTTGTACTATTTTTAACTCTTATTCAAAACTTTTAATAATTTTTGTTAATATGTAGATTCATCCACTGTCTTTTGAGTCTTCTCTGTCCTATTGCTTTACTTTTTTTATTTTACTTTTGTGTTGTGAAGGAGGATAAGGAAATGAATGGAGAAGAGAATGCAGTTCTTCATACTTCACCAGTTGATGAAGAAATAACTATAACCAAGGAAGAGTATGAAAACCTGTGTTCAGCTAGTGATGAAGTTACTGTCCTTAGGGCTCAGATAGACCTTTTGCAGAAGGAGATAACCAACTTAAATAACTACCAGGTAGATGCGTTGATGCCAAGTGTCACTGTGGGCAGATAGTTTTTGATTGTTTACAGTTTATGTTTGCTTCTAACAACTAATTTCCTGTATGCATTTGTTATGTAATAGCAGTTTGAACTAGAGGATGCATAAATAAGTACTAACCAATTAACTTAAAAACTTTCTTGCAGCTTTCTATATATATCTTCAATGAAAAATTGATCTTTCTGTCTGTGTTGTAGTCTGCTCGTCCTGCTCAATAATTTTACTTATGGAGCTCATTTCTAAGTACATAAACTTTTTTGTTTTTACACATCAAGCCTCTCCCACCAAGGCAAGATAACCCAGAGAAGAACACACTTATTCACCATCACTCACAATCTAGATACTTTTCCAGAATGGAGAAAATTCTGAAACTTTGACAACTTATAGTGCAGACACGTTGCTTACCATCTCCATGACTATATAACCACTTTCTCTGAACTCCTTCCTAGATATTATTTTGGTTTACCCACCTCCTATTCTTTATATCTCATAATTAAGAATTTGATTCTTCAAAGTGCTGTCCATACAATGTTTTGTTTGTTCACAACTATACATGTAATTTTTCTTATTTGTTTTCCTCTGTACAAAAATTATTTGACTTGACTTGCTGTGTGAGTGTGAACAAGGTAGTATTTATGAGGGATTGAGTTGGACTTGAGACCAGAAGCTGAGAAGTTCAGTGCCTACATGCTGCAGGAGGGGTGGGAATGTTGCAGTTGAAAGGTCATTGGAATTGGGGTGTCTATATGTGCACTTCTGGTAAGAGCTATTGAATGAATGATAGTGAATGTGTTTGCTTATTTTTGGGTCACCCTACCTTGGTGCGAGATGGCTGTTCTGTGAAGAAAAAATACTGAAATTGTGTTGACTGGGAATTGGATACAAGAACACTTTGTGCAGGATGATTCAAATATTTCCAGTTTCATTATAATTATTTTCATAATTCAGCTAATTGTGGGGTATTTTTAGCTTTAAATGTCTTCTTGAAAATAAAATATATGTTTATGCACGTACTACTTAAAATGTCATTGAAATTCATCTATTAATGTAAAAATATAATTCTTTAAAGAAATTGGTTCCACCAATAAATCTAAACTTGTTTCTTAAGATATTGGATGGAAAAAATATTGGCAAATAAGCATAAATCAAATTTTCATGCAACAATTTTAATGACATTAACTTTGTCAAATTATTATTATTAAGTATACTATTTGGAATTTTTTGGCTCAGAGAAAGACTTTGATGCTACAAACTGCTGTTGTATGCTTCTTGCATAACAAGATAATGACAGCTGAGCCCTAAAAAAAACTGTAGTCCCACCATGAGCTGCAATACATAAAAATTCATGCAAGTTATATGTTCTGTTTGGAGTTATAGAACGTACAGAGTATATGAAATATCCTGGGCATCTTCGTATATTATAAAGTACCCAGAGCTATGGGAGCAAGGGGCTAGTAACCTCTTCTCCTGTATATATTACTAAATGTAAAAGGAGAAACTTTCGTTTTTCCTTTTGGGCCACCCCGCCTCGGTGGGATACGGCCGGTGTGTTGAAAGAAAGAAAGACCCAGAGCTATGGTCTGTAATTCACATAGCATCTGTGCTCAGTTTATTGGTAAATGAAATTTTTTAAAAGAAAATAAATGTGGGTCATATTAACAAAAAAGGCACAATACCGTGACTGGAGCGATACACAAATAACCCGTACATAGAGAGGAGCTACACGATGTTTAGGTCTGACATGGACCATTTACAAAGTCACACTAACAAAAAGGAGAGAAGGGGGGAGTATATATAGGCAAGGAGGTGGTAGTGGAGGTAGAAAAAAAAGTGGTGGAGGTAGAAGGTAGTGGTAGGGAAGGTAGCATAGAGGAGGTGGAGCCAGTCAAATACTAAGAAAGAGGAGCACTGCAAGGGAGCTAGGGGCCCACAGAGGGGAGGAGCAAGAACACAGGGAGGGTTATCTGTGTATGGGTCATAGTCTCTTTCATGCCTTGGTTTTTATAAATGATCACATAAAATGAAGTATTTAGCTCTCCTCTAATTTTAGACTAAGTTACTCTGCTGGATAAGTTACACTGTATTAATATTAGTAGTACTAGCAGTAGTGTATATCTTAAGTTTTTGCAAATGAAGAATATTTCAGAATTTGGTTGTAAAATATATAGAAATGATCAGTTCGTCAGCTGGATTTTGTAAGTCATTGAACTGACAGTTGCTAATGGCAGCAATATAAAAAAAATTAGTGCACAAGATAGTTAAATGTTAATAAGTGTGAGTCTTGTGATATGTACATATTGAAAAAAATAATGAAAATTCAAGAATGGATCTTTGGCCATTGAAAACTGCTTAGTGAATATGTGTAGTTATAGAAACATTTTGTTTTACACAAACTTTCTGATGTGTTTGAGAGGCTTTAAGCAATATGAAGAAGTATTAAACAAATGTTCACATCTCAGAAATTAGTATATATTGTAGGTTACAGGTGGTTGCAAAGTCTTGCATACAAATCCTTCATGTGTGTTGCACTCATAGAAAATACTGTGTACAGAATCTTTGATGCACTGTGGACAAGTGTGTGATCTGAAATGCTTGTTTGCTCTTAACAAAATTAATAGCCTGTATTTTGTGTGATTATCTTAGCACCTGTATAAATGCTGAGAATTTACATGTATTAGCTAATTTGTCTTCAACTAGCCATGCATTTAACATATGTCTGAAGCTGTGCATTATTTACTACTAGAATTAATACATTTGTGTACTGTACATGCATCTTGTGTAATATATGATACATGCATGTTGTTTGTTTAAGCTGTATATTATAATTACAAGTGAGTTGAAGTACAGTGCCTATACTCAGGGAGGAGAGGTGGGGATGTTGCACTTTGGAGGGTCATCTGAACTGCGATGTCAGCACACGTCAAGCAAGACAGCAAATGACTGAATGAGTGTGAATAATTTTTTTTTTGTTTTTAGGTGAATGAGTGTGAATAATTTTTTTTTGTTTTTAGGTCACCCTACCTCAGTGGGAAATGACTGGTGTGTGAAAAAAAAAAGTGAGATGAATGATATAACAACCCCAATGTTGCCACAGCAATGTAAATGACATCAGGTGGATGTCATGAGATACTTTAAAAAATAAACATCACAGTATTTTATTCTTTTGGAATTCAAGTATTTTATTATTGTCATAATTATTCTTGGGTGATTAAAATAAAGGGCTAAATTCATTGGAGAAAAATTGTTGGCAGTGAGAAAGGCATTTCTGTTTATTCAGCAAAAAAAAAAAAAAAAAAAAAATACTGCCTTGACTACTGTTTCAACGAAAAATCTGTATATTTATCTATACATTTGTCTATCTATACATTTGCCTCGGTGGGATACGGCCGGTGTGTTGAAAGAAAGAAAGAAAGATTTGTCTTTGGTTGTAATGTAACTTGTATACTATTATACTGTAGAATATAAGTCATTGGCCGGACCAAGAGAGTTGCCACTACATCCAGTTAAAAGAATATGATGCAGTTATACATGAAGCTTTACTTGTTCTTTGGGCTGCATGATTATTTGATCACCATTGCCTTATTTAATCTTTATTTAAAATGTAGCTAACAAACTTCTATCAGAAATTTTTGAAAAAATAATATGTTTTGAGTGTTTTTTTTTTGTTTGGTTTATTTTTTTTATTAAAACTAGTACTGTAAATTCATTTTATGCCTTATGTATTAAGGAGGTATTAGAGGAGTGTGTGTAATAAATTCTTCTATTCATATAGGCAAGGCTAGAAGAAGATTTCAAAACAGCTCAAGATCTATTGGCAGATCGTGAAGAAGAGATTAATCAGTTATCTGAGGAAATTGAGGACAGTGTGCCCTTGCCTTTACCTTCAGAAACTATTCAGATGCAAGACAGGTGTTTAAGGCTAGAAGAACAGGTATGAAATTAAGTATTGCTCGTGGAATTTCCTTTGTTATTTTAGATCTGCAGTTGTGTGTTTATTGTAATAA